AAAAGTATTACGGTTACGAAATATTAACTCGTAACTTTAACGGTTTTTATTTAAAAACCTATCCCGTTAATTACGGTTATAACTACGGTTATTATCGTTTTAAAAGTCTTTTTTTAAATATACGTTTATACGACCGTAAAACCTATTTACGTTATAACGACGGTATAATTTACGACCGTCTTTTAAGTCGTCCCGTTTATCTTTATCGTCGTTACGTCGGAATTTTTTATTTTAATTATAATTACGTTATTAAGATTAAGATCGGTAGTCGTTAACGTTACTTTTAAAACGGTTACGACTTCGGTCGTAAAAAGGTTTATCGTATTATTTATCTCCGTTAAAACGGAGACGACGGTCGTTAAAACGATCGTTTCGAGTCGGGTTAACGTTAAACGTAATATTAACTTTCGGTTAAGTATAGTTAATAATAATAAACGATACGACTTATTAATTTACTTACGTAGTATTAAAAGAGAGAAAAGTAATATTTAAAAAGAGAGTATACGTTTAATACCGTATAATAACGATTAAAATTATTTTATTTTAATAGTTAAGTAGTAATATACCGTAAAGTGGTTCGTTAATAAATAATTAAAGTTTATAATATAATTAATTATATAACGTATTTATAACGGTCTCGTTATTTTAATAGTTTACGAGACGGTTATATTACGGTATAAGTGTAACTTTAAGTTTAAATACTTTTACGGATTAAAAGTTATCGAAAGTGATTATATTACGTTATAATTATTATATAGTATTAGTAGACTTAATACGAAACTTATTTTTAAGAAGGGTTTTTTTAATAAAATAAGTTAGTGGTTATTTAATACTTTATTTATATTAATAAACTACGGTACTATTCGTATATTTTACCGTCGAAACGGGTTTATAAGTCTTTAACGATAGTTACGTTAATACGGTTAAAAAGATCGTATATTTTTTAACTTTTTATATTTTAAAAGAAGTTATTTATAAAACCGGTCGTATTTACGTCGTTTTAAAAAGTGGTAGTATAATTAAAAGTAAGGATAAAAAACGAGATAGTCTTAATATTCCACTTATTATTAATATAAATACTTATATCCTTTTATTTATTATATCCTTTATACGGTTAATCGTAACGGTTTATTTAATTTATCCTTTAAATAAAAAGTAATATTACTTAACCTTAAAGTCCTCCGTATAACGTTAAACGAGGGAGATCGTCCTTTATACTAACGTCGGGAGTTATTAAACCTTTATAAAGTAGTGGTCGTCGGATACCGTAGTTTAAACCTGTTTAAATAAGAGTACGTTAAGGTCCGTAAAAGTTTAGTGATTCGTTTACGTTAATAACCCGTCGTTTTACTTTAAAATACGTAAGTTTATATTTTCGTATCTCGTTTTTAATTAACGTTATACGGTAAGTAATTAGTAGTATAATAATATATTATAAGTGTAACGTTTAAAAGTAGTTTAACCGGTTTTAAAGTCTTTATTAAGTTAAGTTTTTAAAATCCGAACGATAACTATTATTATTAAAGAGTTCGTCTTTTTCCTCGTATAAAAAGTCCGTTACTTAATTTAAAAAGACGGATATTATCGGTAAACTTATTAATATTAAAAGAATAAGTGATAAAGTTAAAAACGTTATTACTTTACGAATCGTTATAGTTATTAAAGTAGACCGGTACTCCGTAATAAAAGTTAAAGGTTAAAAGTTAATAAATTAATTTTAAAAACGACTTTTTATTATATATACGGAACCTTTAAAGGTTAACTACTATTATACGTACTCGTTTAAAGGTAGGTCCGGTATATACTTAATTTTTAAAGTAACCGAAAAGTTTATTAAGTCGGTCGACTTTATCTTTTTATACTTTTTTAAAGTTTTAACGGTACTTACGGTTAAAAGTACTATAAAAGGATTATCGTCCTTATCTTCGTTATTAAGTGACTAGTTTATAATAACCGTAATAAAAGTTAAAGGTTATAAAATGTTTTTATAAAGGACGGTATTATTTTATAATACGGTCGTGGTTATTTCGTTAACTAAAAGTTATTAAAGTTAAAAAGTTAATTAATAGTAAAGGATATTATCGTTCTCCGTATTCTCGTCGTTCGTCGTAGTCGGTGTTAAATATCTTATATTAATAGTAAAGTGTCGGTTCGTAAACTCGTCGAAGGTCTCGAATATACTTAAAATATTTTAAGAACGGTTCGACGATAACTCGTCGTTTTTAAATCCCGTTATAGTATTAACTAGGTTATTTTTTTAAAACGTCGTCGTCGTTTCGAAGGTTACGTCGAGTGTTTTTTATAAATTATCTCGTCGTATTTAAAGTTATTTACTACTTTTTTCGTATTACGAAACCGTAAAACGATAAGTAAAGGTTTTATCGACGGAAAAAAATTAACGAGAGTTTAGTCGTTTATAAGGGTTTATCGTAAAATACGTCGGTAAAAACGTACTTAACGTTTTTTTTACGTTTTAATAAAGAGTTACGGATTATTTATCGTATTTTAAGTAAAAGAGTTTTTACGTAACTCTCGAGTAGACTTAATAATCGGGGTTACTTAAAAATAAAGAGTTATTATTAAATATTACGTTTAAATACGTAATACGTTACTAGTTTCGAGATACTAAGTAACGGAATAAGAAATAAAGTCTTATATATATCACGATTTAAAATACCTTACGATAATATAAGTCTTAAATAATAGTATAATATAATATGTGATAAATGATTATTGATTCTATAAACTATTTATATAAATTTAAGGTCGGAGAAAAGGTCTAATATAGTCGTTATATAACTTAGTTAAACGGTACGTGACTTAACGTGATACTAGACTCCCGTAAAAAGAGTCTACGTATAATACTCGGTTAAACCGGACCGTTTATAACGACGTTATTATAACGTCGTATTATTACACCGACGTTAGTGTTTTAAGACTTAACGTTTATAAAAATAAATATTAACGATATTTAAACCGTATTATTATTTATCTTTTTCGTTTATTTCCTTTATTTTTAATATTATTTTTTTAACGGATTTAATATAAGTAACCGTTTTTTTATACGTTATTACCGTTTATTTCTTATAAATTTTTTTATTTATTAAGTAATATATTACGATATTTATTAATAAAGGACGAAAATTTTTTACTACCGTTCGACAAATATTATACGTAAACTCCTTTTACAAAAGTCTAATATTACACTAAATTATATACCGTTTAACTAAACTATATAACGGTTATATTAAACCTTTTCTCCGACCTTAAATTTATATAAATAGTTTACAAAATCAACAATCATTTATTATATATTATATTATACTATTATTTAAGACCTATACTATTATAAGGTATTTTAAATCGTGATATATATAAGACTTTATTTCTTATTCCGTTACTTAATATCTCGAAGTTAGTGACGTACTACGTTTAAACGTAATAAAATTTATTTTAAAGTACGATATAAATTTCGTCGAAGGATAAATTCTTTAAAGAGATACGTTTAGTGTCCGTAAAGATACAACTAAACTATTACTATACGAAACTAATAAAGTATTATCTTTAAATATTTAACACGAATACTTTTAAGTAACGTAAAACTATATACTAAAGTTTATTAATAAAGTTAAAAATATTTATATAAATAAATATTTTACTATCGGTAATAAAACCGGTTTAATTAAGATCGTTACGGGATAAATCGAAAAAACCGATCCGTTCGGGTTTAAAATACTAAAGGTTATTATATAGTAACGACGATCGATAACGGGTATTTTTAAAAGATTTAAATAAATAAATATTATCGTTTTTTAAATAACGGTGGTTTAATAAATTAACGAGTGGTATTATATTAGTTATTAAAAATATATACTTTTAAAGTTAAATATATTTTATAATAAATATATTACGAAGAATAACGGGAATATTATTATTAACCGGATTAATAATATTAATAGTTTATTTATTAACGACTCGAGTAAAGACCGGACTTATATTAAAAGTATATTATTCGAACGGGTTAAAGATAATTAGTTAAAAAGTTATTATATTAAAGTCGATAAACCGTAATACTTTAAAAGTAATATAAAGGTTTATTTATATAAATTTACGACGGATTATTACTAATAAAAAAGATAAAAGAATAATATTTATAGTCGAAAAAAACGGTACTTAATTCGGATTAAAAATAATTTATATTATTAAAGTAATTAAAACGAGTTTACGGAAAAGGGTAACGATAAATTATTAAAAGTAAAACGATAAAGTAATAATAAAAAAAGGTGTAAAAATAACATAGTCGATTAAAAGTAAAAGTGTTTAAAAAAATAGTAGTAGTATTAAATTCGAATCTTTAACTCTTCGTTAATAACGGATAATTATTATTAAAAAAAAGTTTTAAGTAATTTAATTATAATTAAAAGTTTAAAGGATAAATAAAAAGTAAAGATTCGAGAAATAAAACTTTCTTCGAACGAAAAAAAAGGTTTTATAAACCTCCCGTATAAAAGTAACAAGAGTTATTTAAATTTCTTTTAAAGAATTATTTTTATAAATTATATAATAATACATATAAACGTTAATATAAAGAAAATTTCTTATTAATTAAAGTTATCGTAACGGAGTTACTACTATTATTATAAAATAATAATTAAAAATAACTTGATTATTTTCAATCTATCTAAGATCCTTCGGATCAACTAATCTATAATATCTTCCCCCCTCTTCCCCAACGGATATGCTATCCGTTGGGAGGGGGACAAGTCACGTGTGGATCCTTATAGATCACACGTGACAAATCCGCTTGAGCGCCAGCCGTGCACAAAACGCACATTAGTCCGGTCACTCTGTGGAAAATCCTGGAGACAGACTAGCCCGCCCAACTGCTTAGTAATTAATATGGGTTTACCTCGTCTCCGCTACTCCGTACAGAGTTAGGGAGCTAAAGAGAGTGGTTGAGCATACTTACTGACTTGAGCACACAACCATCCTCAACTTCGATGCCCCAGCCGATCCTCCTTGCATCGTCCAGCTTCACTGCCATCCTCTGCCCGATCTCTTCGGCACACCTGGCGCCTCCACAGCAGCGACCGTGCTGGCCCTGTCCCGTCAAGAGTTAGAAGCTCGCGTGCTACACCGTGTCAAAGCAGACAACGGATTCTGCCACACGATCATCGGTGCTGTCTTCGCCGCTGTCCCGTCCAACAGCGTGTACTGCTCCCGCCGCGCACGCCTCCCCGACCTCCGCCAATAGGACATTGTCCTCCTACGATTCATTCATCACGGCGGGCACCGGCTGAAAGCCCAACTGCATCGGTTGTCGTCACGCTTTACTCTACATCATCGGTCCTAAACAGCCCACCTCCAGCGATCCACACAGTAAGAATGGTTCCTATCTCAGCGCAGCGCCTACGCCGACGCTAGGCTACAACTGCCGTCTCTGGTTTTGGCCTTATGCTAATAAATGCACAGACGCCGGGGGAGGCACACGCAACGAGGCAGATTGCGCTCCTAGCCGGGGTCTGGACGACGTCGGTGCAGCATCACTCTCCCACCCCGTTCTAGCCGACCTTGGCCCGTCCCGTGGCTCCTAATAATTTAATACCGAATTTTATTTTCGAGTCCCTTCCCCCGTCTCTCTCTCTTATTCCCTGGCTTACCAAACCCATTAACGACTTACCACCATCGATCCCCAACATAACGATGGAGCATGCTGAGAGTGGGAGGATCGCGAAACGGGTAGTTGTTGTCGTTTCGCGCAAGAGCCGGTATTGGGCTACGGCATGGGCTTCCAGCGAGGGCTTAATTGCCGTTGCATTTCGACTTCTGCAAGTTGAGCGGCTGATTCCATCTGACGCCCAGAATAACCCTTCAACAGTCACATTTATAGCGAAGGAGAGATGGGACCTCCGAACATATCTTGTCTTCGACATCTTTCACGATACCTACAATGCCGACGAGGCACACATTCCGGGCCGGAACGATCTGCCAGTTATCTCGGTCTTCCTTGGGGAGAAGAAGGAGAGTGCAGGCATCGCAGGCAGGCCTACGGCGAACAAAGTCAACACCGATATTAGAGCTCTTCACAACTCGACTGGCCCAGGGAGCAGGCCACCATTTACTGTCGACCACATCGACGGGCAAGTTCCGTTCTACCCCAACCCGCGAACATCTTACGCAACCAGCACATCGTAATGAATTGGCATGGAACAACATCACTATCTACTAGGAAGTCGTACGCTTCTGGGAAAATTACTAGATTCTAGACCAGGTGAAACAGCGGACTAATTTTGTACGCTATTAATATTTTCCGTCCACATGCTAATAATTAAGCTGATGTATTATTACTCTTAATAACCCCCCCAACCCCCAAGCCTTAAGAGATACCCTGCCGTCGATCGCCGCGTCTACATGGACTCTGGCGTGGGAATGCTGCAAGTACCACACACGTCAGTCACGTCCGTAATGTTCGAGCCGTCGTTGGCGGGATCGTGTTGGGTGGCATCTGCGCAGGTAACAGTGCGTTCGACCTTCATCAAGGCGCCGCATCTGCCGCAGGTAGTCCGCGTGAAATGGCACATATCTTTAAAACCCTTCTTCAAACGAGGGGCTGATAAGATAGCCAAACCTAGAGATCTGGGCTCTCGAGATAATGGAAGGAGGTGCGCACGTCGCCAATACTGCGAGTAAGAAAGAGGAGAGCTCGAGTGGAGTAGGACTCCGCTGGAAATGAGAAGGATGGCAGAGAGTGAGCCGATACTTATGCACGGCGCATCGTAGTCCGGAGGTTGAGGTGGAGAGTTGAGATCGTGACGCCTGGGAGACTGGATTTGGTTGCGATGTAGGGCGGGCAAGCAATTTTGAAGGGTGTTGAGGAAAACGTGCCTGGTGTCCTGGTACCTTTTGTTGGTTGACCGTCTGCGCTAATTAAATCCCGGACATCACTGAGGGGCCGACCAGACCAAAACAGAATTACCCCGCAACGTCGGGCGCCAAGCATCTTCCCGAGCCCGTCTTCCGCAAGCACATACACTTACAGGGGAATTCTTTGTTCCAGCATGCTCCTGTATGAGGCGTATACCGCGAGAGGCCGCGCTCGAGGACGATGGAGGCCACGCGAGCGATATGGCTACGCAGTTGAATGTACATGGCGAGGAAGGTCGCTCGCGAGGCCGACAAGCCACCATGGTCTCGCCAGCCAAACGAGGCCTCAAGAGTGCAATTCACGGACGAATCTACGACAGTCCGTAGATTCTCAATCACTCGTAGTGGAGAAAGGCGAGGCGAGGTCTCGCGAGCGGGGAAAGGCGATTACATACACAACGAGACTATTTCAATCTTCGTCGAAGCGGAGAAACGATATTCACTCTTCCGGCCTCTTGGGAATCGAGCCGGCAGATGATGTCGCATCGAGCCAGCAGCAAAAGACAGATGGCCTAGAACGCCCTCTGCTGCCACCGTCAGCCTCGCCGATTAGCAATAAGAGTGATGCCGGTGACGAGGTTGCGCCAGGTCCAGAGCAGGAAGTGCCTGTTCAGGAGCATTCTTTAATGTCGTCACCTAGTCCGTCGTGGCTGCGGCAATCACCTGTGTTAGAGGCTCCACAAAGATCCAATTGGAAGGTTTAAATTTGTAAGACTTTTAAGTCGTCTAAGGCTACTTGTTAATAAAACATTTCATTCCACGCTCCACCGGGCTATACTTGGAACACTTCCATGATGGCCATGGATAATGTTCATTAAGACCGCCAACGCATCCACGTCCCAACCATCTGCGATCACGGTGCCCACCGAGGATTCATGCCAACAAGCCTTCGACGTGACATCGAAAAACCTAGAGGCTAATTTCAAATGCTTAGAGGAGACTTTCATTCGTATTTCTGGTTGATTCGGTGGGAACTCAGAATCGAGGTGGGAGTTTTCGGGAGTTCCTTCTTCGTCGGATGCTTCGTATAATGCGGGTGCTGCTTCTTTGGCGGGAGCCTGAAAGGGGTCTCCGAAGGCGGATGCTCTGAAGGCGGGTGCTCCGAAGATTGATGTTGTAGAGGCGGAAAAAGGTCCGGCGGGATCAACGTCTTTAAACGAAGGCCTGAATCGCGTTTCCCGGTCCAAGGGCGCAGGTTCGTCGTCCTCGTACCATACCTTCAATGGGGCGTTTGGGTTGAAAAGAGTCAAGAAGATGTCTCCTTCGGGATCAAATATATATGGTATCTCATCCATGATGCATGGATCGACGGCGAGTCTCAGACATGGAGGCAGAAACGCCTTCACAATGTCTGTTATCGTCTTATGTTTTGGGGGATGGGGATGAGGGGTGCTAACTTGAGGAGTCTGGCTGCGCTTTGTGTTCTAACTTCTTCTTCTGGTTTGTCTATGCTTACGACGTTTGCTGCCTAATGGTTCAAAAAAAGTCTGCAGCTGATTTGTAGAGCACAAAAACTATAACCAATTATATTCGAGGAACGTAAGTTTGGTGGCGGGTAGACTTGTGCGTTGCTGCACATGTTTCTTTGTGGTAAGTCATGAGGAGTATACGGTGCCATTTAAATCGACGCTGGTTTTGGGTTGGGTGTTACTGCAGCGCTAAATGGCGGAAGTCAAGTCGCTTCCACCTCCCTACATATATCCCCACTAACGGCAGTTCCCGCGTATCGCCTTTGGCCCACTCAGCGCACCACGCCTTTCTCAGCGGACCGCCTGTGCTGCCCATCCAACCCCCGTCTGCCCACAACGTCACTGTCGCGCTCGACCCGCAAGCCGCCCAGGCCCTTACGGAGCTACAGCCGTCTACGGCGTGGTCCTCTGCGACAAGGAGTACTGCTCACGCTGGGGAGAGCGGCCACAGTCGGAGGGCGAGCAGTCGCTGCCGCTCCTGTTACGAAGGGCGTGTTGCGGTGCGCTGTGCCTTCAGCAGCCACTCTGAAAAGCAGCGCGTGTAACAGCTCTGTGCCCCTGGGCTCTGCCTCGAGATGGGCGCCCTGGCCAAAAAGAAACCTACATGGAAAATTCTTAGTAAAAAAAATATCAACGAGGAAAAAAAAAGAAGGAAAGGGGGAACGGCGCGAGCGGCCCTGCTGGAAGAGCCAACTAGGGGGAGACGCGTTGGGGTAGGGTAGGGCTTGTGCATCTATTGGGAGCCGTAGGTTGGCCTACGACCACGTGGTCTTTCCAATGGCCAAAACGGCCAATCAGAGTGCGCGAAGGGGTGTGAAAAGTTTGCGAAGATTTGTATGTTTTTTTCTTGACGCTCCTCAGGGCGAACACTTTGGAACAACCAAGAGAGATTGGCCACCACTTTGACCGGTGTTAGGGTCCCACAGTCCCAGTTGGCGGGTCGTTGGTGTTGTCGTTGCTGCTGCCACCATCGCTGGCCGCGCTGCCGCCTGGCACTCGACCGGGACTTGCTATTCACCATGGTCGACGACAACGGCGTTTGGGCAGTGGCCTGGCTGCTAGCGTGGCGGGGTGCCTACGCCGCTCGTGGGCCCAGCGTCCTCCCGCCGTGGTGATGTTCGGGCGAGGCCCAAGGGGTGGAGCCTTGCAGGGAGCCTAATAACTAGGCTGGCCACGAAGGAAGCAAGCTTCACAGCCATGGGGAGAAAGATGAAAAGACGTAAAAGAACCCAAGAATAATGTTCCTGTGATGAAGTTGCACTCTCACATTTGCCGACCCAATCTACCCTCCCACCCACCAAACGATGCCCTTCCCTCCCAGGGCGCCGTCAAACTTTCTGTCATGTATCTCCTTAGTGGCCAAAATATGACTTTTTTCAGCCGCATCTCGTAATTGGTCAATACCCCTACACGTGACCCATAGGTACATTGAAATAAATTACCCCCCCACCTAAAAATAAGTCACACCTGTTCAACCCTCTTTCCAACACCTGAATCTGCCCCTCGATACTATTACGCCCAACAGTCTCTTTTTGAATTTTGATATAACGTAACGCCGTACTATTAGTATCCCGAGTTAATTCGGGCCTTTTAAGGTAAGGCCTTGGTTAATTAAGGCTCGAAAATTAATATATTACGTTTTTTCGATGAGTAATAGGTATAAAATTACCGTTTTCATAGTCGAATTACCGTGTGTTATATATTATCGGGAGTGTAAATAAAAGGTACGTCCGTTTAGTTTACGTACTTATAAAGGACGACCTTTTAACCGAATTAGGTGAATATTTAATTAAAAAGAAGTTTTCGAAAGTCGTCGTAAATATTTACTTTTTAATTTTAACCGTTATACCGGTAAAAGAGGTATAAATTCGTTATTAAAATTTTAAAAAGAAAAAAAAAAAGAAACGTTTATTAACTATATTACGTTTAAACGTAATACGTTACTAGTTTCGAAATATTAAGTAACGGAACAAAAAGTTATTATAAGTGGTTATAAGATAAGTCTTCACAATAAATTAGTTAATAAAAAGCATTAGTTTCGAGGGCGAAGGTAGGTGTGTATTGTAACAAAGACTAATTCTTACCCCTTCTTCCTAAAGGGAAGAAGGGAGTCCTCTTATTTAAAGAGAAAGGTTTTTCACTAGTGTGGTGTTAACGTGTGGTTAAGGACTAGTTATACCGTGTTTTATTATATAAACCTAGTTACTTGATTCGTGGTTTTTAGTTACGAATCGACTATAATAAAAGTAAAGTCTTATATATATTACGATTTAAAATACTTTATAATAATATAAGTTTTAAATAATAATATAATATAATATATAATAAATAATTATTAATTTTATAAACTATTTATATAAACTTAAGGTCGAAGAAAAGGTTTAATATAGTCGTTATATAGTTTATTTAAGTAGTACGTAACTTAATATAATATTAAACTTTTATAAAAAAAGTTTATACGTAATATTTATTAAACGGTAACGAAAAATAATTTTCGTTTTTATTAATAAATATTATAATATATTACTTAATAAATAAAAACGTTATAAAAATAAACGGTAATAATATATAAAATAAACGGTAACTTATATTAAATCCGTTAAAAAAATAATATTAAAAATAAAAGAAATAAACGAAAAAGATAAATAATAATACGGTTTAAATATCGTTAATATTTATTTTTATAAACGTTAAGTCTTAAAGTACGAATATTAATATAATAATACGACACCGTAATAACGTCGTCGTAAACGGTCTAGTTTAACCGAGACGTAAAAAAAGGTAAGGCCGGATAAACGTAAC